TGTGTGCATTGCTATAATATATTTTAACTTTTCTAATATAACATTAAGTATCAAATTCATCTAATTGAATCAATAGATCTGTAAACATATCTAATCTAATCTAATCTAATTTAATCTATGCACTTAATCTTTTGCTGCGCTAAAGGTTTATTTTTTATTAACACAAGATACTCTTTATTGAAAAAAAGAGCTATTTATATGGTATATATCATATAATATGTTTATAATTTAACTATATTTATCAATTAATAGTGGAGTAAAAAATGAGTTCTGATATAAATAATGGTTATGCAAAGGTACAATATAAGTATGTATGGAGAGATGGAAAGGCAATGTGGGAACCTATATATCAAAATGCAAATGTCAAGGTAGAACCTACAAGTGAAGATGCAAATGTAGAAGAATCTACTTATGCTGAGCTAAGTTTTACCTCATTACCAACACAAGGTAAGAATGGTCCTTCAACTAATGAAAAAAAACATACCTATGCTAAGCTAATAAATGTTGAGATGATGAGAAGGCCTCTTCCACCAGTACCAGTGGAAACTGATGCAGAAGAACATACTTATGCTACTATAGCGCCAGAAATTCTACCATCAGAGAAAAAAGTTCAGAGAATGAAAAGCATATTAGAGAGTATCAAAGATTTCTTTGTGAACCTTTTCAAGTCTAAAAAAATTGCACCAGATTATGGGCTGCAAGCTAATGAGCACTGGATTGCTGCTGTTGCATCAGCAGATTATGAACTGAGGACCAATGAGCACTGGTGTGCTGCTATTGCACATTCAACTATGAGTTCTCCAGATGAGGACGCGGCTAAAAGCCTAAAAAGTAGGCCTAACAGTAAGGTAAAGGAACTTAACGTTGCGCAAGATACTATAGTAATGTCTACCTATTGTTAAGTTGAAGTGAGCCACTATAAATGGTGGCTTCTCTCACTACGCTAAAGGTTTATTTTTTGTTAACACAAGATGATCTTTATAAAAAAGAGAATTATTTATATGGTATATGTTGCATGATATGTTTATAATTTAATTGTATTATTTAATTAATAGTGGAGTAAAAAATGAGTTCTGATATAAATAATGTAGAGCCTACGAATTCAACTAATGCAGAAGAAGAGAATATTTATTCTGATTCAGATATTACGCCATTGCTAGATTATGCAAATTCACCATCAGAGAAAAAATTTCAGAGAATAAAAAGCGTGTTAGAAAGATTTCTTTGTGCACCATTTAAGGCTGAAGGCTATACTCTAATGGAAGGTAGTCATAGACCTTTAGGTAATAAACTTGCAGGCATGTTAAAACATTCAGGTAATAAACTGACAAGCATGTTAGAGTGCATTAAAAATTTCTCTGTGAACCTTTTTAGGGTAAAAAACGAACCGCCAATTAATAGTATTTTGATTAGTGTGAATCAGATTTGGGCACTGCCAATGGACTCTTCGGGTATCATACAATTAAATAATCATAAACCTTTAGGTAATCTTGCAGGCATATTAAAACATTCAGGTAATAAACTGGCAAGCATGTTAGAGAATATCAAAGATTCCTTTGTATGCCATTTTAAGGCTGACCATACTCTAATGGAAGGTAGTTACAAACCTTTAGGTAATAAACTGGCAGACATGTTAAGGAGTATTAAAAATTTCTTCGTGAGCCATTTTAAGTCTAAAAAAACTGCACCTGAAAAAAAAAATAATGAACCAAGTCTTATAGAAGTGAACAGTCGTCAATATATTATGTGTCCAGGTAATAGAGTGAAAGCTGTTTTAGAGCCTAACAGTGATGTAGAGAAACCTGACGTTGCGCAAAGTAAAAAAACAGCAGCAGAGCAACGTTATTAAACTAAACCTCTTGCGAACCCGATTTATGGTAAAAATTTTTAAGAGAAGTGCACCGCAGGATGTATTGAGGAGCGTAGCTCAGCTTCGACAACAAAATTGCCATCAGTTTCGAAAGAGGCCTTCACATACTAAAAAGATGGCTATACTACATACTCCTACCGGAGTCACACCTTCTCTCTTGTGGTGCATATATTTTAGAGCTAGGTGTTTGTGTACCTTCTGCTAATATAGCTTCGACTACCTCTATCTGATTACCTTGGGCAGCCATATGTAAAAGAGTATGCAGATCTTCACCTTTTATATCAATATTTACATCCTTAATTGTTACTGCTAATAGGGCATCTACTATCTCTCTATTACCCCTTTTCATAGCTAAAATTAAAGGAGTGTTTCCACCTTGATCTTTAATCTTAATATCTATATTTTTATCTGCTAATAGGAGGTTTACTACCCCTATATGATTATTTAATACAGCCAAATGTAAAGGTGTGTTTCCATATTTATCTTGAGTATTAACTTTTATACCTTCTTGTTCTAATAGGGCCTTTACTATATCTTCACGACCATCCCGAGCCACTAGATGCAAAGAAGTGTCTCCATATTTATCTTGCGTGTTAACTTTTATACCTTCTTTTTTTAATAGGGCATCTACTATCTCTCTATTACCCCTTCTCATAGCCAAAATTAAGGCAGTGTCTCCATTTTTATCTTCAACATTAATATCTATATTTTTATCTGCTAATAGGAGGTTTACTACCCCTATATGATTATTTAACACAGCCAAATGTAAAGAAGTGCATCCGTGTTTATCTTTAGCATTAAATTCTATACTTTTTTGTTCTAACNATTTTCTTAACTTTTTCAGTGATTTTTAATCCATAGTTGGGGTTAATAGGGCCTTTACTATATCTTCACGACCATCCCGAGCCACTAGATGCAAAGAAGTGTCTCCATATTTATCTTGCGTGTTAACTTTTATACCTTCTTTTTTTAATAGGGCATCTACTATCTCTCTATTACCCCTTCTCATAGCCAAAATTAAGGCAGTGTCTCCATTTTTATCTTCAACATTAATATCTATATTTTTATCTGCTAATAGGAGGTTTACTACCCCTATATGATTATTTAACACAGCCCAATGTAAAGGTGTATATCCATGTTTATCTTGAGTATTAACTTTTATACCTTCTTGTTCTAATAGGGCCTTTACTATATCTTCACGACCATCCCGAGCCACTAGATGCAAAGAAGTGTCTCCATATTTATCTTGCGTGTTAACTTTTATACCTTCTTTTTTTAATAGGGCATCTACTATCTCTCCTCTATTAACACTTCTCATAGCCAAAAATAAGGCAGTGTCTCCATTTTTATCTTCAACATTAATATCTATATTTTTATCTGCTAATAGGAGTTTTACTACCCCTATATGATTATCTAATACAGCCAAATGTAAAGGTGCATATCCATGTTTATCTTGAGTATTAACTTTTATACCTTCTTTTTTTAATAGAGCCTTTACTATATCTTCATGACCATCCCGAACCACTAGATGCAAAGAAGTGTCTCCATATTTATTTTGAGTATTAACCTCTATAACTTTTTGTGTTAATAGGGCATCTACTATCTCTTTATAACCATATTTAATGGCTAGATTTAAAGCAGTATCTCCATTTTTATCTTCAACATTAATATCTATATTTTTATCTGCTAATAGGAGGTTTACTACCCCTATATGATTATTTAACACAGCCCAATGTAAAGGTGTATATCCATGTTTATNCTTTATAACCATATTTAATGGCTAGATTTAAAGCAGTGTCTCCATTTTTATCTTCAACATTAATATCTATATTTTTATCTGCTAATAGGAGGTTTACTACCCCTATATGATTATTTAACACAGCCAAATGTAAAGAAGTGCATCCGTGTTTATCTTTAGCATTAAATTCTATACTTTTTTGTTCTAACAGGGCCTTTACTACCTTTATATGACCATTTTGAGCAGCTAGGTGTAAAGGCGTGTTTCTATCTTCATCTTTAGCATTAATATATGCACCTTTTCCTGCTAGAAACTTTATTGCCCATTCGAGACCAAGTTTAGCAGCCCGATGCAGAGAAGTTTCTCCAATATTAATATTTACATTGCTTAATTGTTCAAATTCCTCATCATTCATAATCTTTCTCAAAAAATTAATACATGCAGTTAATTTTATAATATTTTTATAAAAAAGTCAAGTTATTAAATCTCTTGCAAAGCAACAAATTGCCATCAGACCCCAATTATGGATTAACCAACGCAGTAAAACTGAGAAATACAGGGCTTTTTTCGCTTCATGCAGTATGAAATAAGTATCGATCTTTTTTGCAATAAAATCTTCTCTTTTAGCGAAATTAAGGCGTTTTTCATAAGACCTTCTGCGAAACAAAGAAATAAACGTCAAATTCTCTTTGGGGGGTATAAAAACCTATCCCATGTGTGACTTTGCTTCTCTACAACGCTCTAAACAAGAAAATTTTTAAAAAATACGAAGAGAAATCTTCCAAGCTAAGTTTCACGTTTTGCAGAAGGTCTATTGATTACCAGATGCAATTTGAAGCCAAAAAACCAGCCGTATGTACTTTTGCTAATTTCCGCAAGTAGCGATAAATACCACAAAATCCTAGGTTTTAAGGTAATAAATCTATCATATGATAGGTAATTTGGGAAATTCGGATTTGTACAATAATTTTAGGTAAAATAGGTAGAAAAATTTGAAATTTTTACATGGCGATTGGTGATAAAGTAGCACAGTTGTAAGAATTTCAGAATGCGTAATCTCTGGTACTCTCGTAGGTTTTTTGCTCCTTGATAGGAGTTTTTCTGCAAAATTTTTGTCGACCATATTGCAAAAATCGTCGATTAGGCAAAATAATTCTGTTATATTCTTCTTCATGGGTAATCTCTCTATTTTTTAAGATAAAATATCTCAGAGTTTACCCTATTTTCTTAACTTTTTCAGTGATTTTTAGTCCATAGTTAGGGTCATAAGGAGTTTTATACCAATCAATTTCGCCATTGTGATGAGATACATCGATTCCTCGGTTCATATAATGCCTATAAAATGCCAATTATATATTAAAACAATTAAAATATTGTGAAAACAGCAGGTGTTTTAGAGGTTGTTAAGCAACTTTTATAGCTTTGCAATACTAAAGTAGATGAGATCTACACAAGCGATGAGGGTAGTATAGCCCAACTTTTGAGTGGACCTATCTGCGGATAAATAGATTTTAGCACTCGATTTTTACTTGCCTACTCTGAATTCTGGCTATATTATCTGCAGATTTCACTGACGAAATTTCGAACTTTAAGTCGGCATCCATAAACGATTTTACAGATTTGCCAAAAAAATCATATCTCCATCCCCTAAATAAGTCGTTTGTTTGCCCAGATATTGATTTAATTAACTCATCTTTTGATGCAACTAATTTGCGTGACACATTATTTTCTTTACACTTACCTTCTAAAATAATCGATAATATATCGAATATAGACTTATCATAATTATCTAATGAAACATTGGCATGTTGCATGCAGTCTTTCTCATTGTCGTTGAAAATATTTATGAACTCCAATAAGTCTTCTTCCTTTATGTTTTTTGTCTTTTTTTTCAATTCATCTAGAATTTCATCAACACGTTCTACGTTTCTCTCAATTAAGCCAACGATTACAGCATTGTTGACTATCTTATTACGATTTACATTATAACGCTGTGCTAAGGTTTCCTGCCATTCACTAACTGCCTTAACAGTTAACATTAATTGTGGATGATTAAATTTTATTCTTTTCCACGCATTTTTGGGATTATGGGTATATCTGTTTATATCGCCTATTGCACGCATCTCTTCTTGAAACCAACTAGCCCTACCACTCTCTTCAAGCTTGTCACACAATATTTGATATAGGTCATACAAATAGGTCACATCATTTATTGCATAATCCAATTGTTCTTCAGATAGTGGTCGCTTCAACCAATCTGAATTTTTAGCTTTAAGTTTATCCAAGGTTATTCCCATATATTGCTCTATCAATTTTGAGTAACCAATAAAATCATAATAATAAGTGCAAAACATAGCCGCAATTTGAGTATCAAAAATAGGAGCAGGAATATCTTTAAACACAGTCAATAAAGATTCCATATCCTGCTTACAGCTGTGAAACACTTTTATTATTTCTTTATTGAGCATTATTTTCTCAATGGCTGATAAATCAATTTCTGGTGCTAATGCATCTACAATAAAACTCTTTTCTCCATAGGATATCTGCACTAATGATAATTTTGGATAGTAAGTTATATTATTTCTAATAAACTCTGTATCAACTGCTATGAACTTTGGTTTTACTGTATTTAATTTTTCGCACGCATCTTCAAGTTCAGATGTGGTAATTATTAACATATACTTTCTATTTTGCGGTTTTATTGTATCACAACTTTTACAATTAACGTAAAAGTGTTTTTAGAAGCTATAAATCCAGTTTAAGATTAAAACTTAAGATTAAATCTTATCAATTTTTTAAATATTATATTTAATAGCTATGTTTCAATGGAACGAAAATCATGCTGCAATCGCCACTGGTGGTAGAAAGATGGGTAATTGGTGCAGTAGAAAAATTTCAACAGATACGAGAGAGATAAAAAAAGGTGATTTATTCATAGCCCTGAAAGGAAGAAATTTTGATGGTCATAATTTTTTGGATGAAGCATTCGCAAAAGGAGCTATTGCTGCAATAGTAAGCAAACCTCTTTCGAAACCGATTTATAGTGATAATAGATGCAAAAACTTCCCTCTAATTATTGTAGAAGACACACTAAAAGCCTTGCATAATATGGCATCATACTACATAAAAAATGTTCTTGTTGGTACTAAAGTTATCGCAGTTACAGGTAGTGTGGGAAAAACTATTACAAAAGATATGCTACATACCACTTTATCACAATATGGTGTATCTCATGCAAACAACGACAATTTAAATAATAACATAGGATTGCCCCTCACTATACTTGCAGCCCCACAAAATTGTGAATACTTAATTCTTGAAANGCAATCCGGATATTGCAATTATTACTAATGTTGAACATGCACACACTGCAAATTTTTCCTCTTTGTTTGATATCGCACGAGCGAAATTAGAAGTACTGCACGGTATAAAAAGCAACGGTATTCTAGTATTAAATAAGGACAATCAATATTATGACTATTTATCATCACAATCCGCTAGAAATAGGTCTAATACAATAGACTTTGGCAGAAACCCAGATGCCATGATTCATTTACTAGATTTAACAAGAAGTCACAATGGATTAATTTTAAAAGTTAAATTAAGCAATAGTAAAATTATAAACTGCCATCTGCACGTTCAAGGAGAGCATTTTGTTTACTCCGCATTAGCCACTATAGCAGTTATGGAGATCTTAAAGCTCGAGTTACCACAGAACGCATTTGCAACTTTCAAGCTCCCAAGTGGCAGAGGAAATATTTATAGCACTCAATATAAAGAGAAACACATATGGTTAATTAATGATTCTTATAATGCTAGTCCTGCGTCAATGAAGGCTGCTATAAGAACTTTAGGTATACACTCTAATAAAAGAAAGGTTGCACTACTTGGTGACATGCTAGAACTTGGTGATGAAAGTATAAAATTTCATAGAGAGCTATGTGACTTTATAACAGAGTATAACATAGATAGAGTTCATACAGTCGGGGGACTGATGTCAGAGCTACATAAACTGTTACCAGATGAAATAAAAGGTATGCACTTCAATGATTCTCATCAACTAAAAAATAATTTAAATGACATCATTCAAAACAACGACGTAGTTTTAATTAAAGGTTCACGAAGAGTAAAAATGGATCTTATAGTGCAGAAAATTTTGTCTGCATGAATTAATAGATCTCTTTGTAACTGTGGTGAGTAAAAAATATAGCAGTTATATAAGAAATCTTTATTATATATAATTTGGCTTAAAAAGTTGACAAAAGTTATTAATTTATTTATCATTAGACCCCCTATATTATGATTGTAAAAAATGAGTAAAGCACCTGATAAGCAAAACCATAATCCAGCTTTTATTGGATACCCTAAATCTACTATTGTACTTGCTACCTTATTATTAGGTTCATTATATACTATTGCTACTGCAGACAAAACTTCGAAACAAATTCAGGTTGTTTGCGCAATTATAGCAGCAATTGCAGTTATGGTAATAATAAGTTCATTTGTGGCCATTTTCTGCAATAGAAATGACAAAAAAGATGTAGCTAACCAGACAAATGCTGTTGGTACAAACAGCAATGTAGCTAATGCAAGTACACAGATAAGTTTTGCTGAAAGGGGTACACAGACAGACAATACAAAGAAAAGTGTAGTTGATAGGGGTACACAGACAGATGATATACAGATAAGTGTAGTTGAGAGGGGTACACAGATAGAAACAAAAAAGATGCAGGAAAATGTACAAGCACAACAAGCAACTTCTCAAACTAACAATAGACCTCTTTCAAAATTCATATCATCAACTCAAAATTGTAAATTCCAGCAATTAAATTGAACCTCAAGCTGAAGCGTTTTCGTCTATTCCGATAGCGATCTGCGACAATTTTGAACCTTTTTAACAAACCTATCACATTTTCAACTACCACCCTCTGGCTTGCAAGCTCTTGATTTTCTTTCTTTTTTTCCTTACCTAATGGCTTCTTTTTCGTCTTTCTATGCGGCAATTCAACGTTTTTGTGAATTTTTTGCAAGCCTCTGTAACCGCTATCTGCTAAAACCTTGATTTCCGGCAATATTGCCACTTTTGACTCCTTGAAAAGCCGAAAATCATGCTTCCTACCATTTGAAAATGACGTGCAAACTATCTTTTTACTCTCTTTTTCTGTAATAACCTGTGTTTTTATACTATGTTTTTTCTTTTTTCCTGAATAAAATCGCTTTTGCTTTTTTTTGGTCGCTCGATTGGTGTTTCCGTTGCATCTATCACTAAAATTTCATATTCTGTTTCGCTTTTTAGCAGCTCTTTTCGCCCTGGTAACCTAAAATCCGGATGTTTTATCAACGTATCTTCTATCCACCTAATTATTTTGTAGCTGTTACTTTCGCTCATACCATAACTTCGACCTATGTGAAAATATGTCCTGTATTCACGTAAATACTCTAATGCCATANCTCACTTTTTCCACGATTTTTTCAAATTCTTCTGTTTTTAGACCCGTTAATTGTCTGAAAATATAAGGGGTTTTTGCCACTTTTGCATAATTTATTGCCATTTTCTCTCACTAAAACTCTCATTTTATACGCTTTTTTTTGTTTTTCTACTTTTTTCCTCGTTTTGCAGGGGGTCTATTGATATATATATTATGATTGTAAAAAATGAGTAAAGCACCTGATAAGCAAAACCATAATCCAGCTTTTATTGGATACCCTAAATCTACTATTGTACTTGCTACCTTATTATTAGGTTCATTATATACTATTGCTACTGCAGACAAAACTTCAAAACAAATTCAGGTTGTTTGCGCAATTATAGCAGCAATTGCAGTTATGGTAATAATAAGTTCATTTGTGGCCATTTTCTGCAATAGAAATGACAAAAAAGATGTAGCTAACCAGACAAATGCTGTTGGTATAAACAGCAATGTAGCTAATGCAAGTACACAGATAAGTTTTGCTGAAAACCCCAACTATGGATTAAAAATCACTGAAAAAGTTAAGAA